CTATCCACCTATCTATGTATGTATGTCTATCCACCTATCTATCTATCTATCTCTATCTGTATGTATGTATGTCTGTCTATCCACCTATATATCTATCGATCTATCTATCCTCGTAAAGGAGATGCGTTGTCTCCACTAACGGGTCTGCAAGGAGGAAGAAGAAAGTTTTACCTGAAGTACTCTGGCACATAATGTGTGTTTATCAGATAAGTTAATTATGAATAGGCAAGCTGGTGGGCGTACGCCGAAGGATGATCAGGCATGAAGAATGCTTCCTACAAACTTGTTTCATTGTCGCCTAGAGCCACTCGTAAATTGGCAGAGCCAACGGCCTGGCAGTCAGGGAGGCCAATAATGAGACCTCCTCTGTAGTTAAGGCAACTGTTGATCACACGCTTGATTAACTGCTCCGTCTGTATCACTGGCACCAGCATGTAAAGACGGAAATTTAGTGAAACATGAGAATTTAGCATCATTCCTTTGGCAATTTTAATTGTGAATGGGCTTTAAACTTAGCAGTAATAAGTCAATTAGTCGAATGTAATGGAAAATACACATTTGTCTCATTCACAATCCCACAATAGAAAGTGATTTGAAAGAGATCTGGCCAGCCATGAAGGTCACATCTTTCCTGTGACCCTCTGGCCCTCGTGGCTTTGACGTGATGTGGTAACTTGTGGGCACATTACACACACAATCCGATTTCTACTCCCGTTGGGAATGTTGAAGTGACAGAACAGAGGGAGAAGCTGTTGAGAAAACCTATGAGGAGGCAGAGCTAATGGAAACTCGCTGGAACTCGTGGGTTCTGCACATTTCTTTGTGGATAAATTCCACTATCAGTCCTTAAATCACCTGAAGCGAATTGAAGTTGAGCCGGAAAAACGAATTAGTAAGAAAAGATCCAATCTTCTAAGGCAACAAGACAACTTTACAAAACATTGCTTCCAATTTACAACATTCCTAAACGAAAGTATAATCCTGGGTTAGAGAAGAAGACCCAATATGACCATGTATAGACAAGGTCACCTTTCAGTTGGCACATTCTCCCATCAAATGGTCAACAGTCAACTCGAGACGGAAGATCCGAACTCGTTTCGCCAGCAGAATCGCTACAGTTCTGTGAAGAGTGTCTTCAGGTCCCAGAATCTCTGCTGTTATGCTGTTACGTCGTGGAGAGAAGATAATGCCAGAGCTCAGCTCGGATGAACTCAAGTGCTAATCGCCAGCATCGATGTTGCGGACCAGAGTGGAAATGCAATCAGACAGACCAGACTCTATTGTCACAATCGAGAGAGAATTACAGGCTCCAACGACATCCGCAAAGGCCTGGTTAAGCAGACGCCTCTGTTGAACTGTCCTTCCAGAGACTGTCTCAGGATCCAGACGAAAGATAGGCCACCATGCAGTCCGAAATTGGCTCCAGAGAGATTGCTTCAAGGCATAGTTCGATCCTGCTTTCGATACTGTTGACATGACCATGCAGTCTCCACGCTTTCAAGCATAACTCGTCCACTTGTCGAGGGCATACTTAGTTGTTCGGGTCTGCTCGAATAGGCCCAAGAGACAGTGGAAGACGAACTTATCCACTGCCTGAACAGGTTTATTAAACTTTCCCATTTTTAGGCACAAAGAGTAGATGGATTTCGAGCATTTCATAGTTGGCATACCGTCACATGACTTTTCATTTTGAGAGAAAAATGTTTGTTAGAACGAGTTAGTGAAATGGTCTTACTGGATACCAAATGAGGGCTGTCGCGTAGAGAAGACTGTTTTACAGTACCATAAAGCCCTTGGCTCGCCGTCCTACGACTTAGACGAACCGGTGCTAAGCTTTCGTCTGTACCAACGTGAAAGACACGATCATAGCGAGAATTCATATTTTACGAAAATGAGCAAAAATATACCAAACCAAGATAAAATGTGGTCGGCTGCTACCCTAGGCACCTATTCTACACAACTAACCTTGCAATCTCAACAAGGCATACCATAATTTGGTTGGCTTAGAGATGAGTGAAGTCACTTCATAATTTATATAAATTATTTGGGAAATATTTGGTAACTCACATATAAATACGCATAAAAAAATAAAAAATAAATCATTATCTGTCTAGCCATATATATCCGCATATCTACAATTCTTTTCTAGCTGCTATTAAGTTTATATAACATCTAAAATAAGACCAGTTGGCCTTGATGATCTAGTACTAAATTAAAACGATTGTAAGAATTAGATCCAGCTATAATAAGGTGTGTGATATGACAGATGGTTTCCCCTGAACTGAAGGAAGATGATTCGTTGACTGCGTCAGTTTGACTAGCATAGCAACTGAAATTAACTTTAATCATATTCTTACTCTCATTAAGTCACCTAGAAATTTCATTAGCAATTCCTTCTCTGTAGATAGTCAAGTGTTCTCATGTTTTTGAAGGCTTTCAGGAATGCTTTGTTCGTGCCTGGTCAACTCCTCAACTTTAATATTCATGGTATCTGGAATAAATTGGCGTCCTCGTGTGGTACGGTTATTGTAGAATGACTTAAGAGTTCAGTTCTAGCTTTCCGAAGAGGCCGCATATTCTGACCTGAATATGCACACAGTAGCTATAGTGTATTAACTTGGGATCAGTTGAAGTTTATACTTGGTCAACATTGCTTCGTGGGAGGGTAGTAAAACGGAGAGTGCTATTCTTTTGGATGCAAAAGCAGGGAGAATTAGCAGAAACGATCTCCACTGTTTTCCTGTGGGGCAGAATTTATCGCTTGTCTGAAAGGAAGAAACGAATAGCAGAAGTAGGCCTCTTCAAGTAACCAGATTGTTCGAAATAGTCCGTCTAGAAATTCGTCTTGGAACAACCGAAATACAGAATTAAAGAGCGTTAATTCAAAGTTAGCACGCCCGAGTTTGTAAGAAACCACTTTAAGCTTAACAATAAATATTTTTTCCTTTAAATTTTCGTACAGTTCGAGCTATTGCAGTATATTATGGCGCCATATTGTAAGGCATCATAGTGTATAAATATGTATACATGCACCACAATCTAGACGCATCAACAACTAAACCATATTGCGACGAGTGCCCTTTGGCCACAGGACATGTGTGAAGTTCAAGGAAGTCAGATATATGTGATATCCTCGAATGTCACAGCAAGTATAATATTGCTTTATCGACAATCACACCAGAAAAGATGGTATGAGAAAAAGCCTGGAATTTCTTGAAATTCACATCTGCCCTGTGGCCCAACGGCACTTGTGGCAATGTGGCCTAGTGTTCGACGTTTGAAGATTATACGCTACATTATCACAGGCCGGGTTCGAGTCCCGCAGAGGGTGTCGATTCGACCAGTTGAGGCGAAGTCGAGACTGCAGTCCACTTCAGTCTGGATGGGAATACCTTTTGGGGAGGAATGGTAACTTAACGTCGTTTAATAGCATCGTGGGAGAATTCAACTGCCAATCATCTAATCGACTCTGTAAAATACAACTCCTGTATCATATTCATTGGTAGTCTCGAAAAAGCTACTTCTAAAGCAAGCCTCACAGGGACCAGAGCAAATGGTACCCCTTGGCAAGACTGCCCGATCTCTACCACAAAGTTCGGAGGCTGTGGTGCCTATCAGGAGGTGTGAAGTCTGAAGTGTCTGCAAAAAGGGTGTAGAAACTGGGAGCGTCTTTGAGGCTCGAGTCGACTGGAAGTTGGTGGACTGGCATGAGGTGGGCAGCAGCCTAACAGGGTGGAAAAAATAGATATCACAACGGAGTTAAGGGGAACGGATGCTCAGAGTCTGAGGTGGAGTTTGCCAATATGACTAGGATACAGTCTGATGAAGAGTCAGTAGTTTGCCGGAAACTGAGTGCTTGAACGAAGCTGCAATGTTTAGCCTCAAGGAACCCCGAAAACTGGTCCAAGCCGCTTCATCACGTCCAACAATGAGGCAGTGCAAATAGCCACTTGATGCTGGGACGATGCATCAATGATGAATACTTGGTAGGAAGACTTAGAGGAACACACCTAGTCCGGAGTCCGTTGTATGCAAGAACATTTCCAAAGTTGAACCATAGACGTGGTGGTACATTCTAAAACATTTCGCCGGCAGCCTCAGTGAGTATCGCCCTTCTTAGCACCGCACAACAACTCGTCAAAAAGAAACAAATGAAGCCGATCCTTTGACCAAATTTGTGCTAAACAATTGTGGTTTCTCCCCTTCTGCCCTAGGTTATTCGCGTTTCCGGTACCATCATATAATGCCATCCAGGGCAAAAGGGGAGATACCAAAATTGTTTCGCACAAGTTTGGTCAAAGAATCGGCTTCACTC